TATCCATATTTATCAGTTAGTATTTTATTCTCATTGCTAGGTTTTGGAAAATGGGGGCTTGGTATACTATGGTAGCGTTTGGTAGAGTTTTAGAATTATGATTTGAGAATAGAGTTGTATTTTGAGTTTGTGAGTTTTTGAATTTTGATTTGAATGTGAAAAATTTGTTTGGTTATGAGTTTTAAAAAGAGTTTGAATTGAGTGATGTGACATATAATATTGAAAAGTGAATGTTTTGAAAAGTGTTTTGAAAAGTGAGTGTGGAATTAATTTTCTAAAGCTGCAACCAAACAACACACTCAAACTAAGGGATAGAATTACATTTCAAAAGCTCTACCAAACAGAGCCATAGTTTTTCCTTTATTTTTTCTTCCTGGAGATGAGGTTGGTGAACAGATGGGGTAGTGATCTATTGCACCTCTGCAAAATTGAGTTTGAATTGGTGGAAAGGAATGAAATCAGAAGTTGTCAAGAATACCTTCCTTTGTATGGAGGATATTTTAGGCTAATAGTTGGTCTTAACTCCCATCAAGTCCTATTAAAATTGTTACTAAAAATAATTTTTTGTTACATTTTTTACATATGTTGCTAAAAATTGACAATTAGTGACTTTTCTTTGTCACGATTTTTATAAATTTTTGCTAAAACGTACAATTAGTGACGTTTTTCAGTAATGAATTTTTTAAACTATCGCTGAAAGTTGAAAATTAGTGGCTTTTTTTGTGATATTTTTTTAAAATGTCGCTAAAATTTATAATTAGTGACATTTTTTGTGACAATTTTCAAACTGCCGCTTAAAATTAACAATTAGTGATATTTTTTAATAGTATTTGATGAAAGATGCCTTTAATTATCATAGGACCTATTGGACAATAAGTTCACCTATTAGGACTTACACGTAAGTCTCCCGATATTTTATGGTGATCGAGTAGAAATCTTTCCTAGTCCTTTTGTGTTGCATTCAAGTTACCACCTTGCGAGTTTTGGTTCTTTATAGCCTATTGTTTGTGAAGCAGGTTCTCATCTTTGTCATCTCAATGAGTTTCTTTACTTTCAGTGATAATGTACTATTCTTTGTCCATCATAGTTTTGGAACTTGCAAGTCTACAACTTCAGAATGGATGTCCTGGATGTATTCAAGTCTACAACTTTAGAATTGCTTGAGAGTTGTCTCATTACTTTGATGATTGCTTGCCAAATGATGGATTTCAATACTTGGATATGGATAAATTATGACTTTCATGCTATCCTTTTGAAAAACTTGTATATTTGCCCGTTGTGGTATCCTTAAATATGAGCTTTTAATTGGCACAAGTCTTGAAGAACTCTTTGCTGAACATTGTAAAGCAGTTCCATAATATTGATAAGACTCGAGATGTGTGGCAACTTAGGGCCAAAGACCCAGTATTTTTCTTATTTACCACTTGTGGTGTACCTTAATCCTTTACGCTTGCAGTACTTTTACCATGACGTACCTGTTGGAGGTAGGTCTCTTACAGTTGGAGAGGTTGAGTTATTTAATTGTCTTTTTTATTTTTTATTTATTTTTAATTCTATTTGGACAGTTGTCAATTGTCTTGTTTAGGAAGTTGGGCTATTTTATTTGGCTATTTGGCTATTTTAACCTGGCTAAAATAGTTGTGTTTAGAAAGTTGGTTGGCTTTTTTTTGTAGTTGATTTGATGATTGTGAGAGAAAAAGTGAAATTATTATGGGTTGGAGGTGACATTTTATCTTATTGGCTAGTTTAACCTATTTTGTCTTTTAGTGGACTATTTTAGCCCAATCCTCTTCCCAAACACCCCCAATATTCATCCTCATTCATGAGGAATATAAGGTGAAACAATTTATTGCTTGATAGACATGAGGTCTAGTCCAAGAGCCCCCCCCTCCCCCCTTTTGATACATCAGTTAGGAGTGCATAGCTGGGTGCCTTGGGTCTGGAACCGCAGTATAGCAGGTTCAATATTTTCCGTCTTCCTTTTTGAGTTCTAACTAGCCAGAGATGGGTTCTAATTTAGATGGTTTTACCATCCAGCTTGAAGGCTGAAACACCCTGTTGAGCTCTCATGATCATTCAATCGGAGGATTACTTCTAATCTATGAAGCATGGGTACTTCAAAAATATTGCCGTATGAGTACCGCGCATTTATCCGATACGGATATGCATACCGGTAAGGCTGCGCGTTGGGTATGTGAAATACGTATCTAGTATGCTAAATACTTTGGCTACGGGATGGGAGATGGGTATGGCTTGGGTACTTTTGTGGGTACTTTTGGGCATAATGTAATTTTTTTATATAAAAAAGATACTAGAATAATTGTGTTATGCCTATTTTTTAAAACTTAAAAAATATTTGGTATTCAAAGCTGCTATAGGGCCCGAAATTTTCAAGCTCGAATTTGCCCCGAATCCAAAACGATGTCGTTTTGGAAATTTTTTTTTTTTTCTTTTCTTTTTTCTTTCTCGCTGGAAGATGAAAAGAGAAGAGGAAGTAGAAGCAGAAGCAGAAGAGGAAGCAGAAGCAGAAGCAGGAGAAGAAGAAGAAGAAGAGAAGACGAAGAAGAAGAAGAACATCAACACATCATCAACAACCAACATCTTCATCAACATCATCAACACATCATCAACATCTTCAGGCAGCCAACATCTTCATCAACATCATCAACATCTTCAAATCAGATGCACTAGGGAAAAAAAAATAAAAATAAAAATAAAAATAAAAATCAACATCTTCATCATCATCATCAACAACATCTTCATCAACATCATCATCACCCCAAAAAAAAAAAAAAAGATTCAGATCTGATTCAGATCTGAATCTCCTATCACCGCCATCACTGTCGATCTTCCTCCTTCGCCATCGCCGCCATCACCGTCTTCTTCTCTTCCTTCTCCTTCTCCCCATCTTTTCTCCTTCTTCTCTCTTCCTCTTCTCTTCTCTTCTCTCTCTCGCCTCTGTTTTTCTGTGTTCAAAAACAAGAAAAAAAAAGCAAGAAAAGGAAGAAAAAAAGAAAAAAAAAAGGAAACCCAAAACGACGTTGTTTTGGGTTTCAAGCCAATTTCGAGCCAACGATTTTGAGCCCTCAAACAATTTTCTATTTTTACAATTATCAAAATATAAAAAGTATTCTTTTTTGGACCATTACAAATACTTCAAATTTTTTATTTTTTATTTTATTTTAATTTTTACATTTGATCTTTGGATTATTATATGTCATGTATTAGTATTAATAATAAAAATATATATTTTTTGTAGACATATCGGCGAATCCATACCGTACCCACACCTGCATCCATACCTACCCCCATTTTTCCTAATGTCTAATAAATAAGAGAGGTTGCCTTCTTAGTTTGCTAGTTGGAGAATAGGAAATTCAAACACTATAATAACAAGGGCCTTACTTATGGTCCTATAAGTAAGTGATTACTGTAATTCCTCAAGAGTCAAAAAGTGCTTGACACCGATACAGAGTATAATGCTAGCGACATATATCCTGAATCTACTTTAGTTGGTGGATCTTTTACATATCGTTTTTTTAGACTAGAGTGTTGAGAAAAATGGGTGCTGTGACCAAATATTACATTTTCATATGAGCATTCTTGTTATGTAAAGACCGTGGCATGCACCTTCACTAAGCAACCCTCCAACTTTGTGTTCCCATCGTCACATAATTTTCCCCTTTTTGTGGGTCTGGACATTCTGAAGTCCAACTTGGTTTTCAAAATTATGCCCTAAATTGTCAAAATGATTCAAATTGTTGTAAATTTGGTATTATATCCTGTAGGTTCATGTGAGATTTCTGTAGGATTGTAGGAGCTAGTGATTTTTCATCTTATTTTGAATACATATTATCGTTATTGGTATTCTTACTTTATTTTTATTTTTTTTATAGAAGTAGAATCTTATGATTCTCATGGATCGTTTTATCCATGATCCAATCCTACGACCCGAACCATGAGACCCTCACACAAATCCCACATATCCCAATTTTTACAACCATGGTTTTAAGTGCCCCATGAATAATATTTAAAGTCCATACAGGATCCAATTCAGTGTTTATTGAAGTTAATATATCAGTCCCCACAAAATGGCCACATGCTTTTATCAGTGTTTTACTTTCTCCTTTTCATAACTAATTTGAACCCCACATTCTTGCTCAATGATTGCAAACATGTTCTTTCCTGGTTCTTCTTCTCCTCCTTCTCCTTCTTTATTTGCTTTTCATAACTAAATTGAACCTGCATTCTTGCTCAATGGTTGCAAACAAGATGCTTCTTTCTTGTTCTTTGGACAGTATATGTCAGCCAGTGTTTTACATGATCAATCCAAGTCTTGAAGTTGTGCCAAGAACATGTGTTTTCCAAAATATAGTTGCAGGCCAACATATATGCTTCCTTCGCATAAGAATTGCCTGTGGCGCTGCAAGTGAAAGTGATTTCATTAAGAACCAACTTTTAGATTATTAAACTGTAAAGATCCTTCTGGTATATTCCCATTAATGTTGTCTATATTAGTATATGTGGACTTTCTCACTCATATTAACCAATTTGAACATGTTTTTTGGGGGCTGTGCAGAGGAAGCTGATATTGAAATACACGCACAAATATAGGGTTGGACTTTGGAGGCCTCGAGCGGAGCCTGTGAAATCGTAATGGCTCCAGAGTGCTGATCTACCATAATATTGCTGCTGAATCGACTTTCTAGTAATTTAAGAAAGAGTATCAGATACATGAAGTCTTAGATTTAATTATGGAAACAACTGGTTTGGTGATTTAACACCATTGCTATCATTGGTATATCTTTATTCAGTCTAGCACAAGTGGGTGCTAGGTGACTATGGCAAGTTTGAGTTCATAATTTCTTGCTTAAGGCTGATTTCTATGATGATATTCGCAAAACTACTTTCGTCCGACCATTTTTAACTCTTCAACAAACCATTAATTTTTCCTATATTTATTTTTGCAGGGTACCTTTCATGTGAAAGAAGGTACATGATTTCCGGTTCTGGATTTTAGTATTTTTGACTCGTGCCTATTAATTTTGAGCACACCGACTTCTTGCCACTATACTATTGGTAGGTTTGGGATTAGATTGTTCAACCTAGCTTGTAGATTCTCGATATTTGCAAGCGTATCTAGATTCTTTTTGTCCGGCTTCCTAGCTAGGAGGTACTTCTATGATCTCACAGAACTTTGCATCTACTTGTTCCTATGTTCGATTTGATTTAGAAAAAATTGTTGAAAAATTCACTCTAACAATTGTTTAAGGCATTAAGACCCTGTTAGGGGCATATAAAGGGCGGATATGAGGGGAGACCGGATATAATATGAGGTGAGTCTTATATATTTTCTTGTTTTCCTATATTCCGTGTTTGGTTGCTTCGGATATAGAGTTAGGATAATATATCCCTCAAAAAGGGGATATGCAATACAAACCCCCATGATATTATATATCCCCACTATCGGATATAGAGAATCTTTCATCCAAAGGTCAAAAATAATTACTCAATTCTTATCCCATCCTATATTTTATTTTAACTAAATATAAGTAATCCCACAGTATATGTAATCCATCTCATATCCTACAACATATTATATTTCATCTTTATTCTTGAGTATTACATATCTTCCTCAAACCCTTATATTTAATTTGAACAATCAAACGGGCCTAGGTTCAGTAAATATTTTTTGTTGGTGTGATGTCAACCTTTTGTAAAATAATTTTGTGAGAAGTCCTTTTGTTGATTTTGAAAGACATTTTGTTTTTAATTTTATTCCTTAATTTATTGGTTAACTTTTTTTTATTTGTTAGGCTTTTTTTCGGCTATCTATTTAAATTTATATATATCTGTTAAAATTATTTTTTATTTGTTTAAATTTTTTTCCTTATCTATTCAAATTTATGTCTGTTTGTTGAATTTTGTTGTTTGTTGAATTTCGTTGCTTATCTGTTCAAATTTATATTTATCTACTCAATTTTTTTACCCTATCTGTTTAATTTTATGATCTTTTTAGTTCAAGTTTTATTCTTATTTGTTTAATTTTTTTCCTTGAATTTTATATGTTGAAATTCGATCTTTTCAATTTTTTTTGTTAAAACAATTTATTTGTTCAATACATTATCTTTATCTGTTCAAATTCTCATAGATAGATAGATAGCAAAAGGGACCTCTAATTTTATCTGTTTAAAATGCTTCCTATGTATGAAGCTCTCATACACACACACACACACACATTCACATAGATATATAAACATATGTTATTCAACAACATAA